ATCAGTTTTCCATAGTCAACTAACTGCCGCTGCATTGTCTTCAAGTGTCAAATGAGTTTTATGGCTCTTCCAAAATATTTTTAAAGGTTTTTTGTTTGTTTGTTTGTTTACATCAAACTCTTACTTCTATCTTAAAGACAGTTTTAAAGTTTCTCAATGCTGATCTATCCCATTACCACAATTACCACCATCTCCACCACCACAATACCACAGGCAACTATAATTGACTTGCTGGAAGAATGGTAATTAAATGCTGAAATGGATCAAAGGAATAGAATTTATATATGCAACAAAATCTATAGCAAGTGTTCATCAAATTGGCTGTAGACTCCCTTCCCTTAATACTATAGTCTGCCTGCCCTCCCTCCCTTACTTCAATCCTTCTTTCCTTCCTTCCTTCCGTTTTCCTTCCCTTCCTTTCTTTCTTCCTTATCTTCCCCTCTTCCTTTCTGCCTTTCTCCTTTCCTGCATTCTTTTCATTTATTGGAGTTCGTTTCTTTTGTTTCTTCTTTCATTTCCTCATTTTCTTTCTTTCTTTTTTATTTATATTTTGCATCATGAGCCTTTAACTTCCTAGTCTGCGCTCCTTCTGGTTCTTCAAATGCAGGCTCTGCGTATACATAGCACAGAACCTGTCTTCTTCGAGTCATGATTTGAGGGAACAAATAACAAACATAGGAAAAGTCAGTGAAAAAATTATGATTGAGATAGTTCATTTCACCCTTATATTCTGGTCTGCTATTTTGGTGTTGTTTAGTGTGATCAGAGTTCTGTGCTGCTGGTGAAACCAACAGGCAGAAGTAGCTGCTATGTCTGTTCTTGGAAGTTGCTGAAAATCAAAAGGAAAACATTAACAATTCTTTTGGGATCCATATCTTCTGTTTTGCTGAGGTGTACTAAGGAGTCATCTCTCCGCATATTTTTATAGGAAGCTTTCCAGTGGTGCCTTCTGTCTGTCTGGTGTCTGTCTGGTGGAAACTGGTGCCTAAGGGCATGGCACAAGTACTGACTTTTCCTTCCTCCACGTCCTCTGAGTCTCCCTGTCTTTGCAAGGGCCTGACCTGCTGAACAGCCATTAAGCACCCTTGCCATGGGTACAACTGTGTGTCACTCCCTGGCCAAACTATCCTGGCTTTTGAATTTATGTAGACAAATTCACAGTGTTGTTAGGTTATGATTTATGATTTGTTTTTGAAATTGCAAAATCACTTTGATGTGAACTGCTGTTCTCCGAAACCATTCCAGATGTTTTTAAAACTCCAGAATTATCAAACAAAAATAAAACGTCATAATAATAATAGCTAATATTACGGAAAGAGAGCTCATCAGTAATTTAGATTTGGCAAAGTATCTTGGCCTGGTTTGTGAATTTTTTTGGTTGGGCGAAATTTGTTTGGCCAAGTGTCTCCCCCTTAATTTTTAAGCCCCTGGGTATTACAGAGGAAATTTAATCCATATGTTTCTGGTTCACTACCTCTTAAATCGTCAAAATGTTGTTTTCCAAAAGCTTTTTAGTGTTAAAAGAGGTTTATCGGACACTATACAAGTTCTCGAAAGTGTTTTTTACCTCAACTTGTAGATCCCAGGGGACAGAAACTCAAACTCCTAGAGTTTGGTTCTAAATTTAACATCAACAAAGCTTGACTGCGGACCAAAGCAACCTGACTGCAGCTAGTGCTTTGAAAAGTACTACATTATTGGAAGAACACATGTGTTGAATGGAATGTACAAGTAAAAGCACACCAAAAAGCAAAGTTTGAGGGATGGATGGCAAGCCTTCCAAGGAATGACTGTTGTGTAAATTTCTATTTGATGAGCTTTCCTTTACATTCTAATTTTCCAGCCACTTCTCCCCAGGACCTTCAGCTACATTGTATCCTGGGTAATTCCATTTTCTACACAAAAAAGGGAAATTTTTTTTTAAAGCAAGTATTCTGATAATCTTGTCAGAGTAAAAAAGATAAGGAAAAAGACATAAGAACTTATTGTCTAGAATGCATCTTGTAATTTCCATAATTCACTAAAAAAAATTCATTCCCTGCCAGTTTATTTGATTTAACATCATCCAAAGTGTAGGGTTATGCAGAATAAATAGCTAATTGGGTTAATTTAATAGCAGGTTAAATCTTTCTTTTATTTTGTCTAAAAGGCACATTAAAATAGTGCAATTTTCAAGTGGTCTTGGAAATCTAAAGTAGAGTTTCTTGATAAAAAAAAATATATATAGCTTTCCCACTGCTGAGTTTATAGTGGGAGTTGCTGGCAAGCTTCCAGTTCACCGCATGAAAATCTAAGCTGCCTGTATAAGTGTAGAATTTAGTGTTGGGTCTTAAGGTTTTGTTTGGCATCTTGCCAAAGATGTTATGCATTTAGCTGGGAAAATTGCCTAGAAGTTAATTGAGAGGAAAACACTAATATACAACCTCCCCCCCCCAGAAAAAAAAAGCCACAGATATGCATATGGTGCTGTTCATTGATAAGATTTGTATGTATACAATAAAGACTCATAGTAAAGTTGCTTAGGATGGATTTTCACTGATTATCCACCCACCATGTATCTGCTTCTTTGAGAATGCTTGTAGTTTCTCCAAAATCAAGATTTCTCCATCACAGTGCCTGCTCAGTAGCGGCATGTGGTCACTAAAGTTCCTTTGAAAACGTTACTGACTGAATGCTAGGTGATGATTCAGGAATTTGGAAGAGGAAATATGTTAATTTAATTTCATAATCAAAGATCTTAAAAGGGACTCTTTGGTGCAGGATCTCAGTATCTTCTCTCCAGAGACGATAGGTGGAATTTGCTCTGTACTGTCCCATAAAAGGATGCTGAAGCCTCAACTGAACTCTTCCTGTCCAATCTCCCCCCACCCACACCCCCGCCCTCCAGGAGAACCACCAGTGCCTGAATAAGTTCTCAGGTTTGGTCTCCTCAGGGCTAAAGACGCAATTCTTATTCGGTAATTCATGGATTTTTCCTTTTATTAATAATCCTTTTTACCTGAATTTTGCATTTCTTAACCCTGGCAACTAACTTGTATTTTCTTCTCTCCTGAATTTTCTCTCTAGTACGTTTGTTTAATATACCTCTCCTCTTTAGTCTATGACCTTCTCCCTTCTGTGGCATGACCTCCCCCACTTTGTTTTTTTTAATTTTTCTTTTCTGATCAATAATCATGAAAGAGATCCACCAGAATCACCAAAGAATTAACTGCGTGTATATCGGTCTTCAAAATGAAAGTAAAGAAAGCTGGTTGTATATTTTTGTCATTGTATTTAGATTAGAATTTGTTTGGGAGAACCTACTCACACAATCATGCTCAGTAGTAATTAAATCACAGTTCCCTATACCTTCCATTCCTCCAAAACCCCCTCCTTTCTTAGAGATCCTTAAGCCTTGTATTGAAAAATAACACTTCCCCAAAATCCAGTCCAGCCTGAAGCTGGAAAGCCTTGCTCTTAAATGACAAAGCTCACAGTAAGTGGACTTCTTGGTCACTTTCAGAGCCTTTCTTTATGGTTCTCACTGTGGTCTTGAAGAAAGGGCTTGGAGGGGGAGGGCAGTTAAGACAGAAGAACAAAGCTGGGGGGTACGCTTTGGGCTCGAAAGGAAGCGAAAAGTGATCCTTTCATTAAGACGAGTGATCTTTTGTACCTGCACTGTATCCTTTTGATGTGTTGAGGTAGAAAGAACATGAGGAAAGAAGAAACAATGAGAGTTGCTACTGTATGAATTCCTTCTCCTTACACTTAATCCTGTCCTTATTGGGGCCTTGGGTGGAAAGCTGATAAATTTGGTGAGCCCTAAAAGGAAGGCAGTGGCTTGAATCCCTGCCACCATCCCCTTGATAATGAACAAGACTAATGAATGCTGGTAAGTGGTAAGAATCTGTGACCAGCTGCATCGGGGCAGGTAATACAGCTCAGATTTAATTGGGAGCAGGTATTGGAAGGCTGTATTACTTTAATTGGTGAGGGGTTTTCTAAATGGAAAGGACAAAGTATAATGGACAAATTGTGTAGTACAATAGCACTTAAGCTGGGATTGTATGCATTCGTTAATCTGCTGAGGAATGAGGCAATTCTAAACAATTTTCTCAGTGAAACCAACTCCAGAAAGCCTGTCCCTTTTGTTCTCCCTTGGGAAAATGCAAGATTGAAACAGAAAATACCTTTACCGAGGCAATCATTTGCCACGTGTGGAAAGCGGATACAGCTGTAAACTATGAAAAAGGGATCTTTGTAGTACAATAAAGGATGGAAAAAGAGATAAAGCTTGGAATTAGAGTGGGCCTGTCAGTGCATCTAAAGAAGGAATAAAGTGATGGCATTTACAGTGACAGATGAGACTCTAAAAAGAAGGCAGGACAGTTTAGAGAGGGAAATTTGATATTTAAAAGAAAGGGCTGTGATAATTAAAAGTAGCATTACATTAAGCTGTTACGCATATCATTAATGACAGAAGGAAACTGGTGCCTTTTAAAAAGTTAATGATTCCTATAAAACCATTCTGGATAACTTACATTTTTTAAAAGTCTGTATGAACATAAACCTGGCCTCACAGGTTGTATTTCTTATTCCCAAATTTCCTTAAAAATATAAAAGGTAATGAAGTTAGAATTAAACTCCAATAATTGTGTGTCATTGTCCATGGAAGAGCACTCAAGTGCTGCTCAGCTAAGAAAAGGATGGACTGAGACCAGCCGTGTACACATTGCTGCAAAGGGCTCTCTTATTAATATGTGAGTATGAAATGAGCCCAAGGGACATTCATTGTCAAATATGCATTAGTGCCTTGTTTCTTTTGATAATTTATATTTGACAAAATCCAACAGCATATCTATGGAATGGCATTAAAACTGATTTCAGATTTGTGATTCAATGATGAGTGAGCTCTAACAAGGTTGCTTAACAGGATTCTCAACAGGTTGAAATGTAAGAGTAGAAGGGCAATTGTATTGAAATTCGTAATGGGGCTCTTACACTTGTATATTTCATTACAGGTGGGAAAACTGGAAAGATTGAATGTCCTTTGGAGTTCACAAAGGTTTGGCAGTGGGATGAGAAAAACAAAACGAAGCATAGTGGGAGTGTTGAAAAGACTTTCCCAAGATCCCCAGGTGGGTTTCATGTATTGCCTAATGGGAAGAGTGGGACCGATTCAGCTTTTCACACTAGCTGAATTATCTTACCTTGGCTATTGTTCACAGCTAGAACCAAATCTACAAAGCTACAGTTTATCTAAAGAGTTCTTTGGAAAGAAAATGATTTCGCTATCCACACATCTAGATCCCACATATTAGACAGCACTGGCTGTAGCCTCAGTCTCTAAAGTCCAGACTATAAATTTTTTTTAAAAAGTTCTCAGTGTGAAATCATAGAAAACCTTTTCTGGCCATTGGTGCATAAAAGAAAAATTCTAATTGAAACTCAGCAAAAGATCCATAAACTATAAATAAAATCAAAGATCAGTCATGTTCATCAAAGCATATTCACAAAGAATAGTCAGGAGACTCACTACCTTATCATATTTAAAGAGATGTTTCCAATAATGGCCATTGAAATTCATTACTGGGCTTCCACATTAAAAGACTAAAGCCTGTCAAATTTCTTAGGCCAGAGTAGAAGTAAAATAGGAAATAAATCCCTAGAGTTCCAAATTATTATCTGTTTTAAAGATTGTGATGTGGAGCATTGAAGTGTTAATCTATATTGTAATACCATCCAATCTTTTAAATTGAATGTGTGTGTGTGTGTGTGTGTGTGTGTGTGTAGTTTGAATATGATAAAAGTTGTTGATATGTTACTATGCTATGTGCAGCTGTAACAAAAACTCAAAATCAGAAAAAAAAATTGATTAGAACAGATCAAGTTTGTACAAAACTGCCATCTTCCTGGTCCCTAGAGTTAAACTGAAACATTTTCCTGTACTTGCCTTATCTCCACATTCATTTCTCCTTACCAAAGGAAGTAGAGAATGTCTTTCCCAGTAAAAGTCTTATATAAATCAGCTGACAACCATTCAGCATGGACAATATCAATTATAAAAGAATCCATTATCCCAACAGCCATTTATACTGGGAACATGAATAAGAAAAAAGAATCTTCACACACACACACACACACACACACACACACACATTTATTGATTACCTACTATGGGTCATTTCATCCAGTTAGTTGCTGTTATGTTCTTAGCAACCACAAACTCAGCAACTGTAGTTTTTTTCTACAACATTTAATTAGGGATTTAGTAATCATAAATATCAACAAAATAGAGACTTTAATTAAATGTAGTAAGGCAGAAATTATACAGATATAATTATATTCTTTGCTACCACTGAGCTATGCAGAGGTATAATCATCAAGAGGAGAATTAAAGTAGCATTCTAATAGTACTTGTAAGTTCTATGCGATGAATTTCTACGTATTTAGATACTATCCCCTGGAACTTCAGCTTCTGTACCTCTCCATCATCCTTTAAGCTTATGACAATGATATTGGCTAAAAAGAACATCCGACTTTCCTCATGTAAGGAGAAATCTTTAATGTAGGGCATGTAGGTTTCAATTTGATGTTCAATATATTCATTTATGCTCTACATCTATACGGTGAGAGAGACAAATGCAGAGAGACCTGCATACACACACACACACACACACACACGCGCACACACATATGTACACACCCACATGTGTTTAAAATAAATATTAAATATTATCACAAGAAAATAAGTAGAAAAACATTATAATGAAATTCACAAATAGTGTTATACATGGAAAAGAGGTACAAATTTTAGGAGACCTATCGTTACCTCTTTCAGTGACAATGATGAGTAAATAGTTTAGGATTCTCATTGAAGAAGTATTCTCCTGTTAACCTTTATTAAACATTCCCATGTATAGATGTATATGGCCAGTAAAGTAAATTAGAATGGCAATATTAAATATAATAATTCTTTGTATATTTAGCTAAAATATATCTATATAGAGGGGAATATATTACTTTAAATAATAAATTAATCTGATGCATCTTTAAAATAAATTATATTTATGGACTGACACTGAATAAACTCTCTGAAATCTCACAAAGTGAGTATCGATGGTACTGTTTTGAGATTATTCAACTATGTCTGGAGCATATACACATTTTGTGCTTTTGTAAAATATAATTAAATTTGTCAATAAAATAAAAAGAACTACTCAAGAGAAATCTCTTTCCACTGTTCAAAGTAGAAATTGAAACACAAGAAATGAAAAAACAAATAAAATGAAAAAATGAAAGCTTCTCATTGTTAAAAAAAAATAGTATAGAGTTACAAGTGAGATTACCTGCATAAAAGCAGGTTTCTAAAAGTTATGCCCACTTTATAAAAAGGGCAAATAAAATACCCACTCCACCAAACCATAGTAGAAGAAAATATGCTTTCATGTTTTCATGGCTCTGGTGTGGAAAAGTTTTCTATGAGAAATAGAAACATTAAATCTGTGCCATACTCAGGTTTTGAAGCTAGAATTTATTTAGTTTATTTTTTTCTTACTGTAGACAACATAAATTTGTTATCTTACAGTCCTTATTTGGGATTCTTTTAAATGTGGAAATCTCAAGATACATATCCCAAAAGCTGTAGCAGAAGAAAAGACAAAACCGTCTATATAATCGGGCATCTCACAAAGCTACAGAAAAAATAATGCTGCTAAAAATGAGCTCAGTGATATCAAGGAACCACCACATAAGGAAATGTGCCAGCATGGAGAGAACCAGCAGATACAACAAATAGGAGAACTGTTATTCTCACATACCAAAATGGATATAATAACCTAAAAATGAATGCAAAAAATTGTGTTTAAAGTAATCTGTGAAATAAAATTTGGAATGAAAATCACATTGACGGAATAGCAAGTTATGGGGAACAAAGGAGAATTTTGAAAGAGCCATCTCTTAGTCAATTTTCTGCTGTTATACTAGAATTCCAGAGACTGGGTAATTTGTGAAGAAAGCAAAGATTTATTTCTTACAGTTCTGGAGGTGAAGTCCAAGGTCAAGGGGATTGCATTAGGTGAGGGACTTTTTGCTGCATGATCTCACGGCAGAAGGTGGAGGGGCAAGAGAGCACATGTGAGAGAGAGGTGAAGGGAGCTGAATTCAGGAAGCCATTCCTGCAATAAGTAATCCAACCTGTGAAAATAGCATTAATCCATTCATGAGGCCAGAGCCTTCATGACCTAATCACCTCTCAAATGCCCTACCTCTCAACACCATTGCATTGCAAATTAAGTTTCCAACATATGAACTATTATGACACATTCAAACCATAGCAAAACCACAAATAATTCCAATTTCATAATACCTGAACTCAAATCATAAACAAAAATACTACATCTTTATTTTTATGAAATGCCCATTATATTTGTGTGTATAGAAAGACTAATTAATTCATTATTTTTATATAATTGAAGTTTAGTAAATGGCAATGTATAAATAACATTAAGTAATAACTGAGAACAACCAGTAATGACAAAATGAAAAACAAAGTGATCATGAAGTGCTAAACTTGACTATGGAGGCACTGACACTTTCCTAGAGGTCTTTGAAAATAAAAAGGGAATAAGTGAAGTGTTTCTAGACTTGTCAGAAATAGGAACCCTTGGGATGTGGTGTCAGCAAAATGGCAGACTAAGAAGTTCCAAGCTCTTATTCCCCAATCGTGAACATAAAAATAAAGTAAAATAAAACATAAACTGTGTAAACCAACTTTGTAGAAGCTCTGGAAAATAATCAAAGTTTTACAGCAATCAAGCACATGTTTAATCAAGAAAAAGCCATCTTCAAAATGGTAAAAATGATTAGTGGTGGTTTTATTCTCCATCCCCCATACCCTTCATAACATAGGATGGTGTGCTTTTCAGCAGTGACAGATTAGTTACCAATTCCCCACTTCAGAGTGGAGGAAGCAGAGCAGACTTTACATGAAAATTATTTTGTCTGTTCATGCTAACTTGACTAGAGAAGCACTTGAAGAAGTGACTTGCTCATCTCTGTCTCTTATAGTTCAGAATACAGGCAGGAAAAGCAAGAGAAACTTCTTATCAAAACCACAAGGGGACAAAAATCCCACACATCTGGGGCTAGAGAGATTCTAGGTGGAGACATACAATACACCAGCTAAGGCCCAGAGGAGAAACACATTGAGACTCTTTGGGAAATTACGGCATTCACAAAGAACTGTATATACAAGGAGATTTAGAAAGTTATGAGCATGCCCCAGAAAGACACATGCTCAAAATTCTTTAGAATCCCTTAATCTTTCACCCTGGCTGAACCCTAGACTCATTGAAGGCCTAGAAAATTCATGAAGAAGTACAGTGGTACAGAAGCAATCTCTAAAGTCTGAGAGAGGTCGACTGTCCCTTTATTTGTTTGTTTGGGGTTTTTTGTTTGTTTTTATCTGTTTCTGATCCTGAAATTCAAGAGAATCTTTGTCAAAGCATTAGCTGAGTACAAGCTACAGGTATCAAAATAGTGAGTACATACACAAAAGAATAGCCTTTGCAAAAATAGTTTTTCTCAAGACAAGTAGATTACAATAGTCTTTAATAATCAAAACAGAAACACCCACATAGAGAACCCAGGGAATGAAGAGAATCTGATTTCCAAAGTCACCACATTAGAAAAATTAAATGCCAATCTTCAACAACAACAACAAAATTCACAAGGCACACAATGAAACAGGAAAAGTGGCTTATTTAAAGGAATAAAATAATTAATTGGCATAAACTGCTCCTGAGAAAGTTCAGATACTAAACTGACTAGACATTTGCTCAACTAGATAAGGGCAAATTTGGACAAAGAAGTTAAAGGAAATTTAGAACATGATATTTTATCAAAAGGAGAATATCATCAGAAAAATTATTTTAAAAAAAAGCACAGAAATTCTGGGACTGAGAAAGACAACTGAAATTTTAAAAATTACTTGCAGAGATCAACCACAGATTTGTAGATCAGTGAACTTGAAGATAGAAAAAATTGAAATTATTGAGTTTGAGGAGCAGAAGAAATAAAGGAATGAACAAAAGTGAATAGAACCTAAGGAAACGGAGGGACACCATCAAGCAGACTA